TGGACTTGGTATGTTGCATGTATAATTCACGCCAGAATCCTTCCTTTGAGATGGTAATCAAAATTACTAACTATGATTATGGCAACTAGCTGCATTTCATATACCGTTGTGTTTTGAGCCGACGTCTGTACTGCGCCCCAATAGATCCGAACCCTAGACGAGTGCTCGATTTAGGAACTGGAACAGGCAATTGGGCGATTGAATTTGCTGAGTGAGTATCTATGTTTCTTGGAAGAGTTGTCGAACGAGACTTGCATGTTGTTTAGGTGAGGGTGAGGGATGGGTGGAAACTGAAAAATAGGAAAGGGAGATGGAAGATGGAAAATAGGAATGGCTCTTGAACACAAACCTAACTAAAACTTATTAATTAACATGGCAGCCAGCACCAAAAATCGCAAGTTCTCGGTTCGTGGAAAGAAAAAGGGGTGAAACAAAGCGAAAAAAAGGAGGAAGTGGGAAGGCAGAACGAACCCATCTAACGCTGAGAATAGGGACGGACCTAAGCCCGATCCAACGCATCTCCATACCTCTAAACTGTACCTTTGAAATCGATGACTTCGAAGCCGAGTGGCCCTATATAGTGGCTGCCACAGACGACACACATGCCCCCAAACCCCCCTCTCCCCGGGCTGACAATCGCATCGATGACATCCACAATAATGACAACTTGACTACCTCCGTACCCACCCAGGCTACTAGCCCCATCCTGTTTGACTTCATCCACACGCGCGAAATCACTGGCTCGGTCCACAACTACTCCAAACTCTTCGAACGGGCCTACCGCCACGTAGCCCCCGGCGGCTACCTGGAGATGCAAAGCATGGAAGCGAATTTCTTCTCAGACGACGGGACCCACGAGCGTGCGGTGACGGCAATGCAGTGGCAGCGGCTGCTCGTGGAGGCGAGCCGGCGGTTTGGCAAGGAGTTGGGCGTTGAAGGGGGTTGGAAGGAGGGAATGGAGCAGGCTGGGTTTGTTGATGTTGAGGAGGTGGTGTTTAAGGTGCGTTGAAGGTTCTATTGATTACATGTGGCGCACGTAACAAAAACAGTAATGCATATATGGGGCAGAAATGCCCCTTGCTGAAGAAATTTTCGGTTTTATGAATCTAGGCTGGAGAATGGGGTGGGGTGGGTTGGAGCGAGAGCGAGAGCGCGAAATCTTGAACTAACCAAACAACAAACAATAATGGAACAGGTTCCCCTGTCCCCCTGGCCTAAGGACGCGCGCATGAAAGACCTAGGCCGCTATCAGGCAACCCATGTGCAGGAGATGCTGCAGTCGTATTCGCTTGCGCTCTTTACACGAGTACTGGAATGGAGTAAAGAGGAGCTCGATGTTCTGCTACGGGCAGTGGGGAACGATTTGAAAGATATGAGGTCCCATCTGTATACAAAGGTGAGGGTCGTGTACGGGCGGAAGCGGGAGTGAGTTTGCTTGTTCGCTGTGGGGTTTGATTTCGCGAATGTGGAATGTAGCTGGATTGTAGCCCGCGTATGTTTACTTTTCCCTCTTCGGACGGGATGAAATTCCACCATTTGGGATAGGACGTTTAGTTGAAAGCATGGCGAGAAGACCAGGAAGTTCAAACGGAGGAGTAAATTTATGAAAAACGCGGATACGACTGTCTTTTGTGAATACCCAATTGCGTTCCAAACAAATGGATATTATGGGTCGTCAACCTATCTTCCCGATTGTCCCTCGCAATAACAAACAAGTGATATTTTTTTTTAAAAAAAAAAAAAAAAAAAAAATTATATATGAACAGTAAAAAGGAAAGGGAAGGAGAAAAGAAAGAAGAAAAGAGACAAAAGAACCCCGAAATCCGAACCCCGGCATTAAAAGGTAAAACTCTTAAAAATTTGATATATTGAAAGGGAAAAATGAAGAACAGGAATTTTATCAGGAAGAGTTATAATTTCGAATACCCCTCGCGCGAATTCTTAATGATCCATATATCCATGCCAATTAAATGACGTACTGTGGTTGTTTTCGTTAGTATGGTTCGAGGGAAGTAGCCATAATTAAAAAAGGGTGAAACAACTTACAGGAATAAAGAGATAAGGCACCTCCTTTTCATACTGGGTCCAGGCCTCTCCGTACTTCTCCCTGCAACGTTGAATATCTCGAAACGCTCGATGACCGATCATGACGGCGAAAAAGACGGGATAGAACCAAGGGAAGGGGCTTTTAAATCCAGTGACCAAACCCCAGCTCAGAGCGAAAATAAGATCGCAGGTGTAATGGATTTTCCGAGCATATCCATCTAAAAAAGAAAAGGAGTAATGTGTTAGCTACAAGGAACATCCAAACTACGTAGAGGTACAATAACTGCAGAGCTGGGATTTAACGTACACCACCCATCGGCTAAGATCGTGTGGCCAGCTTTGGACGTGATGGTTCGAGGATTCTTGACAGTTTGCCAAGGTAATTGGGGGAAGGTCTTTCTCAGGATCATACCACCCTCACGTTGTTGACGGAAGCGGTTCTTCTGGCTGTTGGTGGTGTCCCACACCCAGTAAACAAACAGGTAGACGATGTACAAAGCGGAAAGCGCATATCTGTTCATGCGGTAGGTATCCGGATGATGGTTGGCAAGATAGATGGTGCAATGGCAGTAGCTTAGAGGGACACCAGCAAGATTCCAGAAGATAAGCATAAAACCCCACTTTTCGTAATAAATATCCCTATTTGCGATATGTTAGCGACTCCTCCGCACCTCCTATTCTACCCCTGGCATAATCTGTATTAGGAGAGGGCTGGAAAGCGGTTACAAACCAGGTAGATATGATGCATTCTTCCCCTTTCGAGCATGCATTGGCGTATAAATAATGGGCCATCACCAAGAACACAACCTCGCCAGAAACATAACCATAAGTCTCCCACTGTCGAGCCGCCGCTCCCAAACTTATCAGAAATAGAATATACCAAGGAAGCCGGACCTCAAAAAACATCTTGAAATCCAAGATTCCCAATAATCTCGGATTGAGCTCGGCACCCATAAAGAAGTCGTAGATGGGGTAGCCACTCATGCGATGCTCGGCACCACGAACTCGAGCAGAGATGTAAGCAATGATGGAGACGATGAAACCAGTCAAGATGGCAACACTCATCAAGGGACCAAATTCATCAATAACTGTATCTAGTTTATACAATCCGCTAACATGGAGACCAATGGCGACTACAATCGTCGTGTAGAAAGACGCATATGCGGAGCAATAATACGGCAATTGTTTTCCACCCAAATGCTCCAGTTTCCGACCATCGACATAGATGCCAGGAAGGTACAAATAGAACAGTCCCTCAAAGACGAAAAAAGTCCAGTATGTGATCCACGCTTTAGCGCTGGGGAAAGCGCCGTCATACGCCAGATTAAGCAGATGGAGTCCAAACTCCTTCGCTGTCTGTCCTTCTTCGGGCAATGGAAGGCCTCCTTCATAATATGTTGCCCCGATCCACATATAATACATCAGCAACGGGAATCCGATCATCATGGATAAACAGCCCAGAGACCCGCCAAATTCGAAGTGGCCTGAATCATCGATTTTGTAATTCTTCGACGCAGTCCCGTTGGCGGCCTTTTTCTGACCGGCGAGGTTATCCACAGCATAGCCATCCTGTTTCTTCTCAGTAACACGTCTTCCCGTAGTCACTGAGTTCTCGAGGATTAGGCTTGACGAAGTAGAGGTGGACATGTCTGAGGTCTCGGCATCCGCGCTTAAGTCGGGAGTAATGGACGAACGACTTCTGGTGACACGACGCCCTGGGGTGTCTACGTAGCCATCACGCTGGATTTTTCTAGGCGCAATCAAATGTTAGTGGGAGCACTAGATGGGGATCATGTTCGGAGACCCTGAATTTAGCAGCAAGGGCCTGTGCCGTAACACGCGCATTGCACCAGCGTACTTACTTGGGGGTTTTCCCCGTCTGTGAGCGAGTGATAGTCATATTGGCGCTGGTGGGAGACGGGCGCCCAGCGTCAGGAAGAGGAGAAGGCGGAGAAGATGAAAATAAGGACAGCGAACTACAACAGCGAAATTGAGCGTTGGAAGGTTGACAATTCGGCAACGGGAAAGGGAAAAGGGGGCTCAAATTTCCGGCGAATCACATTGCGGTACGACGGTACGAGGTTTACACTCAATCGACCAATTAGAATGGCGGTTGTGCAAATTTGTTGATTGTGGAAAAATACGGAATCAACATCCATGGATACATCTGTGTAATTCAATACCATCGCCGTACAACAGGAAGTCCCGTGCGCATTCACGTTATCCCAATCCTGGTTATCATCCGAAGTGAACTTTGAATCACTTTTTATATACTCCATATAATAACCGAAATCGGAGGATACCATGGCCGATGATAAAGCAGCATTGATCCCATGTTGCTAGAGTATCCTTGAATACCCAAATCAGAATTTACACGTCAGAGATGAGATACCCCAATATCCCCCAGAAAACACGCGTGATTAGCAAAGAGTTGGACAAAAATTCTTGGACGATTGACTGAGCGCCCACTGGGAGCTTCATTTCATTTGGCACAGTATATAACATTATATATGATACCAATGAGAGAACTAGGCACTTGGATCATGTTATATCCATATATATACACACTCAACGCCAGGGCGGCGGATATCAATCAATCCCCGTATATAGGCCAATCCGTCCATTCCATCTAGTCAGGAGCTTCAATAAGTCAAGCAAGTGGTATCATAGCCGTAAACTTCCATGAGCGTTAGCTGTACATGGTCGTAAAACTTACATCATTTGCCTTGTCAGAATCGCATAAATACACAGCCGACAACCTGGTTCTCCGCCTATGGGAAGAAATCACGGAAGCTCCACCCCGTCCGATATATGTATGTGCATGTGCATGTGCATGTGCTTTTGGCGGGGGGTCAGTGGCATTTCATTAAATACTTCAGTAAAGGGAGGGCCACCTACCGGATAAAAATGCGGAGAAAGAAGCGAAAAGAAGAAACAGAACAGTTATGTGCTTGAGAGCTCAGAACATGTAAATTATCTCACATCATCATTTGATAACGTTACGGGAGCTTTCCTGAGAGAAATAGGAGACATGAGAACATCGATGTGATGTGCCCCTTCTTCTTTCTCCTCTGTCCGATCTTCTTGCCACGCGTTTCATGGGCGAGGCTCATACATAACCAATCCAGCTAGCTATCTTGATTCGCTTCGTCATCGGGATCGGGTAAACTGCGGGAAAGACGGGGCGGGATGGGGATGGTAGTCAAATGAAAAACAGGGGAATGTGGGGATTGTATTCAAGCTCAAATAACGGAGGTCTCCATCACAACGTACTCCTAGGATATGTTGAGAAATAAATTATATATGTATATAGAATTCTATTAAAAAGACGACATGGGCATTCGTGGGGAGCGAATCTACCAATAGATGCAAGCATATTATGCAAAAATACAGAAAAAGCTTACAGGAATGGAAAAAAAAAAAAAAGAAAGAAAGAAAAACTCAAGTGGAGCAGGATTAGAGAGGACACCGCAGAGTGGCTGAAAAAGCAGGGTAAAATAAAATTACACCTTCCGTTTTGATTTCCATGTTGTCAAGCGGCCCGCCGTGCCGTCGTCGACATCAGTGTAATTTTCTTGTTTTTCTTCTTCTTCCCGCCTGTTGTCCCTGTACCGGTGGCATTAGTACTATTCCCGGGACCATTACTGTCGATATTAGTCGTCGCAGCAAGGATTTTGTGCTCTTGCTCGACCATCAACTCCCGCTCCCAGTCCTGTAGCCACCCATCATTCGGCTCACGGTCGGGGTTCCTATACGTAGCCTGCGGTGACGTTGGAGCAATAGCTGCCGTGCCCCAAACTGTCCGATGCAACGTAGGCCCAGCAGTGGTAGTGGCAGATGAGTCAGGCGGACTTCCGGATGGCGATGCCAACGCGGTAAATGATGGTCGATTCCTGCCCCTCGACGAGGACCAGGGGGGTGAGGCGGATGACATAGTCGGATCGAAGCCGGGCGCTGATGACGAAGCTTCGAAACCAAGAGGTTGAAAGTCATTCTCAGAAAACGGCCTGTCGGCAGCGGATACACTCGGCCGCTTCCGTCGAGCGGAAGCCCAGCGTTGTTCTTCTTCATTCTTCTCGGCACGAATGCGTTCCTTTTCCTCCTGTGCCGCTTTTTCTCGGTTTCGTTTTCGTCGTCGCTCGATATCGCCACTAAATTGCTGGAGGACGTCTGAACCAACCAAGTCTCTCCAGTCGCACTCGAGAAAGCTGACTTCGCAGCCGTAAGGGAGGTGGCCGAGATATTTCGTACGTTTCCGCAGATCCTCGTCCACAATGTGTCCTGTTGATATACGTTCAATACGCGGAAGGATGGTTGAAGGGAATTGGGAGTAGTCCCCAAATGCAGCCTTGAGGATGCGGATATCTAATGAGGAAAGATAAAAGTGGGGAAGTGCTTGATAAAAGTAGAAAGGATGATCAGGAGGATGTGGAGCGCCACTGGCATCTCTAGCTTTTCCTGCAGTTTTAGACTGTGCACTAAGATTGCTATGCGTCCTCTGGTTTTGCATTTCTAGGGTTTGATTAACCTCGAGTTTCGATATAGCTACCGAAACATCGTCCAATTGGTCATGATTGGGGAAAGTATTTCGCGCGGTAGTTGGGGGATTCGACGGAGTATGTACATTGTTGGGTAAGGTCTGTCCGGGTTTTGTAGCATGCCGGATTTTATACATCTCTGGAACACCATCCGGCGGTTGCTCGAACTTGATAGGGATTCTAGTGGGACGACGCTCAGGAGGTTGACGGGGTGGAATTGGCGGATTCCCAATATCCTTCACTTTTTCCTTCGCCTCTCTTATTGCCGCGACAGCTTTCCGGGTCCAAGTGCTATCATCGCCGAAAAGCAATTCATCTTCCTGCGCCTGCCGTAACAGGTCTTGGATTTCATTATCGTATTGGGAAATCATGTAATCCTCGCCCCCTTTCATTATCCGCGCATAGTCAGGTACCTCTGCCACATGATACCAAGGAATATCGTCGTCCAGACCAAGCGTTTTTTCCACACCATCCCGTGGAAGGGCAAGGGTGCTTCTGGGGTGTCGCATAACCAATCTAAGCACAACGTCCCCACCCTCAGTAGGTGTATCTGTTTGACCCCTATACCACCCAACAGGCCGTATATCCGATATATAGACGGTATCCCAACAAATTGGGCATTTCTTCCAACGAGCCTTTTTCTCCGGAAGAGGGCTCGACTCATCCGTCGAGTGCATGTACCGGATAATGCATGGAAGGCAAAAGACGTGTCCGCATTTAGCCATACGGGGAGCGATGGGGGTCGAGAGGCAGATCGGGCAGCTGGTCGCTTGAGTGTCAGTCGAGACTAAAACTTGTAGGACCGAATTCCAATCAAGGTGGACGTCAGCGTTCGAGGCTTGGGCATGGTAGCTGTTCTTTGGATTGACGATGAATCGATAATTCGCATGAACATATCTACTTGCTGTCAGCAAAAGTCCACTTGATATCTAGCAGAGAAATAGATAGATATGGTAATTACCTGGCTTTGTCAACGGCGTGATAACCAGAACGCGGACCCCATGCGTTGTTGCGCCTTGGACCACGAGAATATCCATTGAGATTTTGTTGGGGCCGAGGGGGAAGAGAAAAGTTCATCAAATGTGTGATGGAGGTCTGCCCCTTCCGGCTCATTGTGGACTTCATCGCAGCCTGTTATCACTCAAATTATGAGACTAGGGAACCAGAGAGAGTAATATACTAGAGGTGACATTAACACAACGGGACGAAAACATACGGATTCTGCAAAGACATCCTCGTCATCCAAGCGAGGACGACGGTGCCGTTTATGCTGGTTCTTCCTTGTCTGATGGTTCCTTGGAGACGACAAGTTCTTGGATGACGACCCAGCACCCAAGAACGCCTGGGTTCTCCGTTGAGAAGCGGTTTCAATGCCCGGATATGAGGCAATCTGGAACGACTGGGACGGCTGACTAGGGATGTTGATTGCTTTTGAGGGGACAGAAGACTGGCCAGAACCGGACGACATTATATCCCCTTGGACACAGCAGCCAGGAGGGACACAAGATAGGTCAGTCGCCAACGAAGAAAGGAATGTCGACGAAGACGGAGATGGATATATCCAGTCGAGGGGAGTTAATCTGATTGGCAGGGAGGTAAGATGTAGCTCGAATGTCCCTCCAACTAGTAACTTATGACATACGACGAAAGGTGTGAACGGGAAAGCAAATACAGAAACCAGAAGGAAACAAGCCCAACATGAGCCCGTGAGAGTAATTGCAGACACCCCGAGGACCGAGGACCCATTGGAACACCAAGCGTTCCGGGGCGCGATGCAGAGGCGAAGAAGAAGCAGACGAAGGTGACACAAGAGGCAGAGATGAGGAGGGGCGAGGCGCCAGGTTTGGAACGGTATCGTCACGCATGAAACAAGTGACATGACAAAATCGATGGGCTCCCGCGTATTATAACATCGTTTTTAACCGTACCGTACGATACCTGGAGCTCGCGCTGACTCATCAAGGCTCGCTCGCCGCCAAATCCCCGTAACAAGAAAAAAAAAAAAAACACCGACAACAACAGCGAGGATAACGACGTCTCTTCAGCACCTTCGCCCTATTCCACCTCTCCGCTCCTCTACGTCTCGTTGCTTTATCTGTTACCTATTGATTGCTAGTCCCCAATTCCCCCGTGTTTTCCTCTGTTTCTGGGCTACGCGAATACTGTTGGGGTCGAGTATGTCTTGAAAAATCCCTCCTGTTGAGAAACAAAACCAGTTCTCGACTAAGCACAGCTTTTTCTTC